ACTCACTGAACACGAAGCGTGCCGGCTTGGTGGGTTCGCGGTTCCAGTTCTATTCTTGTTGGGCTGGCAGATTCAAAGTAAAGTGTAAAGACCCGTCTCGCGTTATAAAAAAAAGCTCCCCTTTTTTTCGTGTTTCGCAACCTGATTCTGACATTGTTTTTGTGATGTTTTGTCATGCTGTGCGGCGCCGCCCTCCGGATGTACTCGGTGTTTGTTCTTGTCGTTTTGTTTTTTATGAGGTCTAATTGAAATTGAGTGTCGTCGGTAGCCTTAGTGGTTAGGCTCCCGGATTCGTAATCGTGAGATTGCAGGTTCGGGGGTTCGAGCCTCAGCTCGGTCCGACGTTGTGTCCTTGGGAAAGGTACTTTACACGAATTTCCCACTTGCCTATCGGAGACGGACGTTAAACTAGGAGGTTCCGCCCCTAAAATAACCTAATAGTGTTGATATGTGCGTTTAACTCATACCATTTCACCATTTTATTCATTGAAATTGTGACTGTCGCGAAGACTGTGAGGGCACCACTAATTGTGGTGGGTCCTACTTCTTTATTTTCCCTCTGTTGTTTTTGTCTGTCTGTCTTACTTTTTTTCCAGCCCTAAATGGCAATTCTTGTGCCGATGCGCCTGTTTTTACTCTAACAAACAAACAAACGGAGACTGTCTTAATTTGATCAGTCAGCAGTGTGGCGTTATGGGGAGGGTGAGAGAGACAGACAAGGAGGATAGATAGGGAAAGAGGCAGGCGTATGCTTTGCACCAATTATTAATGAAAATGTATTATTAGGGCACATTGAACAGTGGTATTACAGTTGTAATACAAAGTTGCAAATGCTTTACTCTCCAGTCGACCCTTTTTATTTCATTTAGGAGGCGGGCTGCGTCGTTACTATCTCAGGGTGAACCCATGCTTAACGGACTACATTCCCAGCAGAAAGACAGAAACTCTTGAACTGCAATAGTAGCGACTATTTAGAACATTGTTGTTTTGATCATGACACGTGTGTGTGTGTTTGTTTGTTTGTTTTTGTGTGTGTGTGTGTGTGTGTGTGTGTGTGTGTGT